GTTGTAAAAATTTATGCATTCTTTTAAAAATTTCTGATATGTGCCTTAACATAAAAGACCTGTACTTGTGACATTTATTTTTACTAAACATGAATATCATGACCATCTGTATATGCCAGTACCCAGTTTAGAAAATGATACCAAAGGAAACAAAACCATGGTAGGTGCTGCCTTTATACTAACCCTCTTCATGACATCTTCTTCTCACCTACTCAAAGTTAATAACTTTTAAAAATATGATATTTATTTTCCTTACACATAACTATGTTTTTGCTACATATGTATGTATCCCTTAAATCATGTATGGTAATGTTATGCATGTTTTAAATTCAATAAAAAATGATATCGTCTGTGTGTATCTTTTGCAACTTACTTTATTTTGCACTCAACATTATATTTGAGATTTATCCAGGTTGCTACGTATATTTATATTCACTGTTCTGTAATATATTATAAATATCCATTATATGAATAAACCACAATTAATTTACCTAAAGTATAGATTATCAATAGTTAGATAGATAAAGAGATAACGTATATTAGTTTCAGAAGCAGGAGACTAGAACCAAAACAAAATGAACATTCTTTTTTTTTAATGCTTATTAATTTTTGAGAGAGGGAGAGTGAAAGGAGGAGGAAGGGCAGACAGAGAGGGAGAGAGAATCCCAAGCAGGTTCCACACTGTGAGTGCAGAGCCTGATGTGGGGCTCAAACCAATGAATCATGAGATCATGACCTGAGCCGAAACCAAGAGCCAATTGCCCAACCGACTGAGCCACTCGGGTGCCCCAAAATGAACATTCTTAAAATGATTTCAAGGAGATGAAATGCAAATTAACTCATAAAAAGATGGATAAAATTGCTAAGTTGGACATTAAGCAAATTGACATAAAATCTCAATAAGAGGAAAAGCAAGCTGTAGTACCAAAAACAATTCCATCAACTGATGACCTCTGTATGAGTCTGCTCTGGCAGTCATTACGGAATAACACAGACTAAATGGCTTAACAGCGGAAATGTATTTTCCCTCAGATCTGGATGCTGGAAGTGCCCAATCAAAGTCCCATCAGCATTGGTGTGTAGTGAAGTCTCACTTTTCTCTTAAAAATGGCCATCCACTCACTGTGTCTCTTACTAGCCTTTTCTCTGTGTGTACATAGAGAGGGAAAGAGAGAGAGCTCTGATATCGCTGTTATTGTTTTTTTTATGTTTATTTTTGAGAAAGAGAGCATGAGTGGGTGAGGGGAAGAGACGGAGGGAGACAGAATCTGAAGCAGGCTCTGAGTTGTCAGCACAGAGCCTGATGCGGGGCTCAAACCCACAAACTGTGAGATCAGGACCGGGGCCGAAGTTGGACACTCAGCCGACTGAGCCACCCAGGCGCCCCTATCTCTCTCTGGTTTTATAAGCCCTCCAGTCCTGTCAGTTCAGGACCCTACCCTTATGACCTCACTTAATCTTAACTGCCTCTAAAGACTCTATCTTCAAATATAGTCACATTGGGGGTTAGGGCTTCAACATATGGATGGGGGGAGGGGGATGTTCACTCTATAACACTCCCAAATCTTATATCCCACTTAGCTTTTACCACATTAATACATAAAAACAACTTCAAAATCTTAGTGGTTTACAGAAGCAAATATTTATTTTTCTTAGTCATGGGCATGTAGTAGGGATGAAGATGATCTCAGCTGGTGTTGGCTGAGTGTGGATCTAGACTGCAGGTCAGATTTCGGTCCTCAGGCTTCATTTTGGAGTCCAGGCTAAACGGGCAAAAGACACCTAACCATGTACTTTTCAGGGTGATGGCAATATCACAAGAGCACAAAACCCAACCACATAAACACATTTCAAACCTCTGCTTGTACCACATTTACCAATGTCACATCAGCCAAATCAAGTTACTTGGCTAAACCCAAAGTCAAGGGGCAGGGATGTCCATTTCACCTACATTGTGGCCATGGCAAGACTAAGCATATATATACTTCTACCACGGGAGCAATATTTCAGCAGGCACAGCATATGTTCTCAAGCTCTGAGTGTTTCCATGGGTCTTACTGACATTAGAAGACATTCTTTTGCTATGATGGCCATTGTGGGTTTTGTGTAGTAAAGACTGATGCTGCAGCCACACCATCCATACGTCAAAAATCTTCTGTCTGTCCATGTTGTGCTTTGATTTCTCAGCCATTCCTTATATCGCTTCATAAAGTTCTGAGTCAGCGCACCCAGCTTTTGTTTTGAGAGTTCACATTAGTCACACTCTTTCACTCTGTGAGCTCTGAGTCACTTGAGAAGTATACAGACTTCTGGGGGGAATTCAATGCAGTGTTGACATTATTACTGGTGAAGTTGCCTTGGACCCCAGACTGCAATGGTTTCTCAGCTCTTTCCCCTCCTGATTTGACTTCCTTGTCATAGGCATTACTCCTAGAGAGCACCCTGCCTGTCTGCTCTGTTTACAGCATGGAGAGGAAGCAAAGCTGGTCAGATTAATCTGGAGAAGGAGAAACATAGAGCAAGAAGGGTCCTCAAACTAAAGACACAAGCCTTGTGGAGGCCTTGAGGCAGGAGGCAGAGTCACAGATAACTGGTGGCCACTGCAGAAGCCTCCAAACATTTGAAGGGTCACTGTCTCGGTGACCAAATCGCTGAAGATCACATTTGAAGGGGTCACTGTCTCAGTGACCAAATCGCTGAAGATCAAACTTGAAGGGGTCACTGTCCAGGTGACCAAATTCAGTGAAGATGAAGGCCCTTGGACAGTTTGGCCTGAAGAAAATCAGGCCCAGAGGGGACCTGGGAGTTGACCACGAACATAAAAGAGAAGACATAACTTCATTACTTCTCTCATTCATTCAGTAAATAAATATTTGAGTCCTATCTTGTGCCAGGCATACTGTTCTGTGTATTGGGAATTCAGCAATTAACAAAATAACCATTCCCTTGTCCATGTGATACTGACATGGTTTATGGAATGGGGTACAAACATTAAACTAACTAAATAAAAAATATTAAAAAATATATCCTCTAACAGAAGATAGTAAGTGGTAAAGAGGAAAAAAAAATAAGGCAGAGAAGAGGGTTAGGGTGTGTTGGCAAGGTGAAGTACACCTTCAGAAAGGATGGCTAGGGTAGGTGACATTTGAATATAGATCTGGAGGAAATGGGGCCATGGAGTTAAAACATCATGCAACAGGTGAGGCAAGTGCAAACACTTGAGGGGGTGGGTGCCAGGGAGTATGGATTGAGGAATAATAAGGCCAGTGTGTGGGAGGTAAGTACAAGATGAGGCCAGATAGGTCATGAGACTGGTGGTGAGAGGAGGGAGGGAAGATCAGTGTGGACCTTGGAAGCCCCTACAATGTGCCAGGTGCTTATTCCATGAAATGAGGAGTCAGTGGAGTACTTTGTGCATAATGAAGACATTTGGGTGATTTACCTTTACAGTGCTGGTTGGGCGACAGTGTGGAGTATAGACTGAATGGGAGCAAGGGTCATATTCTGTGTGCTCCTGAGAAGTAATTAGAGTCATCAGATAGAAGGGGGTAACTTGGCCAACTAAACAACCTCACCTAATGGACCATGCACCGATGAAACTGGGTGTGCAGTCACCCTGGGAGTCAGCAGCATGTCACTGACAGTCCTGGCAGATGCCAGTGATTTGACACTGGGAAATTCCCACATCAAATAAGGCATTAAACTCTGATATCCCAGATTCCTTCCAATAATGAGCATCTCTGATGCCACAGCATATATCACCCTAATCTCCCCCAGTTAATATATAAGCTCCACGAATGTAAGGCGTTTTGTCACTTCTGTTCATTGCTCTATCCCTGGTGCCTTAAATAGTGTCCAGCAAACAACAGTCATTCAATTAGTACTTGTAAATTAGTACTTGTGAATGTCCCTATTAAACATATTGTAGGTTTTTAGGAGCGCCTGGGTGGCTCAGTCATTTAAGCATCCAACTTTGGCTCAGGTCATCGCCTCCTCGTTTGTGGGTTCGAGCCCCATGTTGGGTTCTGTGCTGACAGTGCAGAGCCTGCTTGGGATTCTTTCTCTCTCCTTCTTTCTCTGCCCTCCCCCACTCATGCTTCCTTTCTCTCAAAATAAATAAATAAACTTAAAAAAAACATATTGCAGGTTTTTGAGCATCGTACTTTTCTTCTTGACACCCCAGAGAATAAGAAAAGTTGGATGGCACCTGATGGTTTTTCCAGGCCTGCCAGTCTGTGTGATTGCATTTCAGACTCTGAGCCATTGTTTTTAAAGGGCTTTGCAGACTGTGGGGTGTATGAAGGGTGCTTATGGGGAGGGAAGGCAGGGATGGGCAACAGCAAACCTGAGTCAAGGGGAAGTGCACAGATAAACTCTGGTGCTGGGGACCAGGGAACTCTGAAAATAAAGGTGAAGTGTTTTTGAGATGTCTAGAGTTCTTCTTCCATTATAGGTGTTTCCTTAAAATCTAAAGGTACAGGATACTGAAGACCTATCCCATCCCAAGCATGTTGCCTTTGCTTCGTGTTCAGCCTGGTCAACAAAGTGTTCATAGGTCTTTAGGCTTTACTGGGGAAAACACCATAAACAGCAGGAGGGACTCCTGTTAAGTGTCTCTAAAACCTTTTTTTTTTTTTTTAATCTTAATGAAGTTCACCAGTAACTGTATTTTTTCAAACAAAGGGTTCTGTGTGGGCACAGCATTATTATGTGTCCCCAGACACCCACCCGGCAGCGATGCTGCGTCCCCCTGAGGTTTATGAGGATTGCCAACACCAATAGGTTGGCTGACAGGGCCCACTTTTGCTACCTGATAAGCCAGTGAAACGTGCTACTATGTTTATTGAACAATCAATACAAAGAGATACACAGTAGGTAATTGCAGTGATTTTATTTCATATTTAGCTTTAGTTTATTTCAAACTAAAGGGAATGTTTTTAATATTAAGCATGCATTTATTAGTGTCTTCCATGCTCCGTATTCTATGAGTTGCATTCATTACAAATTAAAAGTAGAGTTCGCTTCATGGTGACCTGGGGAAAAAAAAATAACAGTCAGAATTCAGTAACTTTATTAATTGTGAAAATATTGAAATCTCTTATCTCATTTACATGTTCTGAATTCAGATGTACGTGACATTATAGTGTTGATACCAAAAGGATGTCCTTAGCTTTAAAACTCAAAAGAGAGAATAATCATAATTATAACGTCATGGGACAGCATTTAAATAAACAGATCTATATTTTTTAGCAGATAATCTCAGTGTCACAGGGTGATATTGGGAAAATGGAGAAAATGAACCTAAATTTTAGGAGTTTCAGCTACTGGGACTCCATTTTATTTTTCCAGATACCAGAGTGGGCACGTTGCCTTGTGTTGTTGTTGGGTTTTTTTCTATGTGGGCTCAGGGAGGGTTAAAGTGTGGACTGCATCCCTGCAATACCCAGTTTTCCACCTCCCATCTGACACTACAAGGGTAGTCACCTTCTTCCTGGAGTTGTTTACTGCTTACGTCCAAGGTCCCTGCGGCGCCTGTTATAGACCTTGAAGCCCATAGAGGTGGGCAGCAAGTTGGTGTTTGCCACGCTTCCAGCTTTGCTCAGCAGGCCTCCCAGCCAGTGGGCCACACAGGTGGCAGAGTTGCAGGTTCTCTTCTGGACAGTGACCCTGATTAGCAAGATGGAGAAAGAAGAGAAGACCTGTTAGTAAGAGGCTGGAAAAAATACCTGCCACATAGAACCATCATCGTAAAATTACTGCTCTGAGAAGCACCAGTTAACCTTACATCTTTCCCCTAATAACAATTATCACTGCAGAAATAGACTCTTGGGGGAAATGCCATGATCACTCCCACAGACATTCCCAGGGGTGTTAGAAAACCCGGGGTGGCTCTGCGTGAGTGGCCATGGAATACAGAGCTGTAACAGCCTCTCTTTCCTGTATAAATAAACTAAAAATCAAAAAAAGGTTTATGAAACAGAGAATTATGGCCCCACACTGACCCCAACCTAACTCCTCCAATGCTGGGAAGTCTCCTCAGTACTGCCAGACCAGTTTCCAGATGGGGGATTTCATACCATCTCCAGTGGCCTTCAGAAATGGACCTTTCTCCATGTGGTGTAACCATAGTCTCTCTTTGTGACATCTATTTTCAATGGAGTCTGAGAATAGCTGGGCCCCATGCTGAAGTGAGCCATGGCAGTGTGCTGGCCTCCTGTACAGCTGTGTTCTCTCTTAGGTCTTAGAATATACCTTCCTGGGCATGACAGGAGAGAGGGGATTCCCTGAGCTGAGTGGAGTGGGGATCCTCACCTGGAGCCCTCAGTCTCCTGCTCCTCCTGCATCTCACTGGCCTTCATCAGCACATAGTCCTTCACCAGTGCAGCCAGCAGGAGGCGCAATTGCTCCTCATTGAATGTAGGGGCGTCCTGAGGACTCTCCAAAGCAGACCTGAGGAGGCAAAGAAAACCAATAAGAGCTCTGAGTCCCTGCCTGCTTCTCTCCAAGATAAGCAGCCGGGCTTCCTAGTAAAAACAACAAAAGCATTCTGTGAGACTCAATGAGTTATCTGAAAAACAAAGAATATTGTGTATCAGTGCTATTTTTTAATTATGTGCTACACATCTTCTATCAGAAAACATATACCCGCCTCAGCCCCCTCACCAGTTAGTGACCTTTCAGCACACCACAATTCTGAGAATGGAATTGTCTGATCCCAGGAGCAGTGGGAGAGGAGAGACCTCCGGGCAGGGCTGGCTTACCTGAATGGTGCTGCCTGGAGCATGCCCACCTGGTACAGGGCCAAGATGCTAAGAAGCAGGAAAGGAGAGAACTTCCAGAAGCCCATGGCGCTTCTCTGCAAGGGAAAAATAATGTCATTTTCTGCACCAGTTTGATGTTCCATGAGCCCAAGAACCTGGGCTCTAGCCTGTTTCTTTCTACCTATAACTCCCAGGCATGGTGGTTTCAGGCTGGCAGTGCCATTCCTTTCCCCATTGTTTCCTCACTGGGGAAGTGGACTGTGGAAAGATCCAGTGAGACTGTAGCAGGCTATCCTAGCAGGACACTGAGGGAAGAGGACTCAGTGCATAGCCCCGTCCCCACCACCTTACACACTCTACATTACCTGCCGGCCACGTCTGCATTGAAGACAATCTCGGAACGCCCTGTCACTAAGGCTGCTCCTCTATCCTACCCAGGATGGCACTCCGTGTTAGGGCTTTTGATCATACCTGGCTATCTGGAGGGTCGGGAGGTATGGCTAAAAAGGGAGATCTCTGCCTTTGGAATCTTAGAGAAACTGAAGAAACAGCTTCTATTGCCCACCTGCTCCACACTCCAGCTGAGAATGCCCTGCAAGAACCAAGTTTAGCAGAGTCTTCAACTGGAGCCAGGACTTAAACCAGGAAAAAAGCTCCCAGGACTCATTACTGGAGCTTGCCTTTCCAGACTACCAGCCCCTAGTCATTGCACCTACTTGCCACCCACTGGCACTGGTCCAGGTTCCGAACCAATTTCCCAGGGACCATGAGGCACAAAACATGACCCGTGAGCACCCTTGCATCCTACTGTGTATGCGGTGCCTGCAGAGTCCCAGCGTCTTGAGTGCAACTGCAGCAAGAGACAGCGAAACTGGTGGAAAGAATAAAGTAGGAAGTTTCTGAACTGAGACAGTTCAGCGTTACCTGTGGCATGAATAGCGAGTAAGAGATTTTGTGATGAAGAGACCCAGACAGAGTGCCCAGTGAGTCTGAGATGGGGAGGAAGAGCAGATACAAGAACAACCGATGCAGAAGAGGGAGAGAAGAAAAGAAAGAGAGAGAATCATACAGCTAAGGCAGGAATATCGGGGCTCACCTGGCAGCAGGAAGCAGGTAGATCGGAGGACCGGTGGTGGCAGCTGCGGCAGCGCTGGCGTCAGGCGATGGCACTGTGGAAGTGTCGGGGACACTTGAGCAGAGCAGTGGCTCTGATGCCTCCCAGCACCAGCAGCTGCTCTTATTCCCGCTGCTCTGGGTCTGGGGTGGTCCAGGAGCTCTGAGCAACCAATGAGGGAAAAGATCACGTACCCCAGATGGATTGTGTCACCCATTTGCGTCTAGAACCTAGAACATTCGGCGGGACCATCCCATTTGTATTTGCATTGAGGTCATTGATGCAAGTGGAGGGAGGGAGAGGGATGGGACCAAGAAGGAAGATCCTTATAAAGTGAGCAGGAAGTTGAGGGCAGTTTGATGTCATGGTAAATTTTACCTGTGCAGTTCCGCTAGGCTTTGAACGTGTGCCCACTCTATCTTTAACTACGTGGTCTATGGGCAGTCTATGGGCAAGATCCGGGATGCAGGGAATCCTGGCTTCTCAAGTCTGACCCTAACCACCTACCCCCACACTCCCGCCACCGCCCCGTCCAAGTGAGGCTTGGAGGGTTAGCATGCAACAGTATGGATTCTGGGCTGTAACCCAGAGCTCCCGGGAAGTAAGAGATAGAAATGACAGCAAGAACTTTGTCAGAACTCAGTTCCAGCTCTGCCAATTCCAGGCAGGAGAATCAGGGAAAATAACTTCGCAACACCTCAATGTACTCATCTTTAAAATGGGGACCTTATTCCCATTTTGACAATGTGGTGTCCTTAGTAACCATGTACCTGTCCCCTAACAAGGTAGAGATTTAGAAGAATGCTCAGGCCAAAACGGAGGATTCTGTGAAATCGCGATCTGTTTTTCTAATTTCCACCGTGTGTGGCTTCCTAGACTCGGGCTGAGTGGTCCGTTACCTGGGTGAGGAGGAGCAGAGAGCCGCGCCCACCTCTGCCTGAGGGTGCAGGGCGTCAATGCTTCCCAAGTCTCCAAACAAACCTCTAGCCCTTCCCTCTTCCTATGGTGCCATCCATCACCTCTGGGTCATCAGCCTGCTGGAGCCATTTGCCCAGCTGCCCCTTGCTTCCAGCTACTGTTTGCCAAGTTGTCCAATGACTGCAGTCCCAGCCGTGCACTCTCATCCCCGCACTTCAGCCCTCCTCTAGAGAGCAGAACATGCTTAAAGGTACTGAAGAGTCCCTGCAAACACTAATGCTCACATTCAAAGCTTTCACACACACAAACTCATTTCTGTCTCCATATCATGTGCCCCGTACCCAGTCCCCAGAGTACAGACAGGCACAGAGAGTCTGGTACATGAACCATTCATGTGGTTCACACTGAATCTCAGCACAAGCCTGCCTCCGAGTCTCTATCTAGGATTGAGTGTACACATGATACTGGTCTGCTCTTATCATAGCCGCACTCACTCTCATCTTTCAAAAATTATATTTTTGGAAGAGCGCAAGCAGGGAAGGGACAGAGAGATGGGGACAGAGGATCTGAGGCAGACTATGTGCTAACAGGTGACAGCATTGAGTCCGATACGTGGCTCGAACTCACAAATCGGGAGATCGTGATCTGAGCCATAGTCGGATGCTCAACCAAATCAGTGCCACAGCGCTCACTCTCAATTTTAAGCGTGCTCCCTAACATGCAATTATGCAGCACCTCGACCCTCTACAAGACCCATCGCAACTGGAGGGTTTTAGGACCTCTCCACGGATCTTTCCGCTCCTCTCCTGCCCCGAGGTCCAAGGTCCTGATTGCTGCCCTCAGCACGGAGAGTGCAAAGCTTCTCACAGTTCCCAGGATCTCCGGGTCTGAGCGAGCAGCATCTGAGCCTCAGCCTCTACACACTTTCCCAGCGCGTCCCAGCGCGGCAAGCGTGCCCGTGGCGGCAAGTCTGGTATTCCAGCCACAGTGGGTGGGGACCCCATCACGGGCTGTGGCTGGTGGGCAGAGACCCCAGTTAGGTGGTTCTCCCAGGCAGAGCAGAAATCCTGCCCGGGTACGTTGTATATAATCCGAGCAACGTACCCGGGCAACGGTGCATCCCTCTCCTCAGTCCCCAGAAGCCTTTGCGTTTCAGAGAACACACCTGCCTTCTTCCACGTCTCTTTCGCATCCACTTTTGTGCCTCTGTGTTGGGGACTCCTAGCTTCCAAGATGCCTCTAATCAAGTTTCCTCTCGCTTAACTCCTGGTGCTGCCTTCACCTTGAGGGAGTAAGTTCGGGACTCAGGAATTGGGGTCTTAACATTCGTTCTCTGGGGCACCTGGGTGGCTCAGTCAGTTAAGCGTCCCATTTCAGCTCAGGTCATGTTCTCCAGGTTGGTGAGTTGGAGCTGGGGTGGGGCTCTGTCCTGACAGCTTGGATCCTGGTGCCTGCCTGTGGTTTGTGGTACTGTATGTGTGTGTGTCTCTCTCACTTTCTGCCGCTACCCCGTTCATCTCTCTCTTTCCGAAAATAAATAAATAAAGTCGCTCTCCTCATGGCAGACTGGCATGGCGGTGAGTTCTTTCTTCTCGTGTAAACTAGAAAACTATTCTCCTCTGAGTCTATCCCTGATTTACCAAATATTCAAGAAAATTTAGACGTTTGTGTGTGCAGATTGTTTAGATTATGTCCAGCTATCACCCAACTTAAGGCTAACATGTAAATCGCCAAGGAAGGGGCACCTGGGTGGCTTAGTTGGTTTCGTGCAGACTCTTGACTCCTGGTTTCGGCTCAGGTCACGATCTCACGGTTCCTGGGTTGGAGCCCCCCATTGGACTCTGGGCTGACAGTGCCAAGATTGCTAGGGAGTCTCTTACATTCCATCTCTCTCTGCCCCTCCCCTGCACATTCTCTCTCTCTCTCTCTCTCTCTCTCAATAAAAAAATAAACTTAAAAATAAATCACCAAGGAAAATACTGATTTTAAACTAGCAATGTGACTATTTTGCTCTTGATTTTGTAATCTTATGTCTTAACTTGGCAATAGAATCCCATGTGTTGGGCACCATCCGCATCGGAACTCGTGTCCCCCAGGGTTTTGCCTCATAGCCACAACCTCAACTGGGGTGATGGTAGCAATGTCTCCTCCCGGCTGTCAGTGTCTAAGTCCCCTGGTTCATGGCTGGACACAGAGCCCAGCACCAGGTCCCACAAGATCATCTCGCAACAAAGCCCTGAACATTGCTGCCTGGCAGGCAAAGTGAACAAACCACAGAAGTGCACTCTCAAGGCAGTTCAGAAGATCAACAGCCAACAACTTCCTGATCATCTTCTGAGGCAGTTCCAGTCCGCTACACGCGGCGGTCAGGGGACCCCTACCGCCATCACCGCCATGGTGGAAGGTCTCTACCGGTACAGCTAGGACTACAGGTGCCTCACAGAGGCGTCACTCAGATCCCTGACAAGACCGTGTCTGTGAGCGTAGTGATGCCTCAGCATAGGGGCACCTCTAGCAGAGTAAGACCCCCTCACCCCGCTCAAGAAGGACCGTGGCACCCCTAGTACTCACCAGTCTAGTAGTCTGCAGGCTGTGCCCCTAGCGATCGGACGGATGCCCTCGCGGAGGACCGAATGAAGGACAGTCCGTTGGTATTCCTGGGTCCTGTGTGTGACCAACTTTGTCTAGGTGGGGCTGGAGTCCCCACTAACTTTTGTCCTGTCCTGCTGTGTTAGCTGCGCTGGGAATCTCAGCGAGTCAGGGATAACTCAGTCCCGCTGAATATCCTCTCATTCTCCTTGAACAAAATAATTTAGAGAGAAAAAATAAATCCTAAACCATTTTCTGCTGAGCTCATGCCTGATTATCAAGCAAAACCAAGTAACAAGTTCAAACCTCTCTCTGCACGGATCGCTTAAACGGAGACAGGCAATCCTTGAAACTTCTCTGGGCTTCTCTTGGGATCACATGCACACACAGCATGACAACGATCAGCTCTCACCATACCGGCACTAACTCTCAATTTTAAGCGCACTCCCAGAACACAATTATGCAGCACCTCGACCCTCTCCAGGACCCAACCCACCTGGAGGGCTTTAGGACCCCTCCACCTGATCTTTCTACTCCAAGCTTGCCGAGAAGGTGGGAGGTTCTGACTTGCTGCCCTCAGCTGGTAGAGTGCCAAGAAAGAGGCTGCTCCCTGTTGCCAGAATCTCCCCTCTGAGAGCACAGTGCATGATCCTCAGGCTCTACACTCTCTCCAAGCACCACTGCAGGTGCCTCAGAAGCCAGGGGCTGCAGATACCCCGCCCACAGAGCGGGCTGTGAACGTGATTGGTGGGCTTGAATCACGGGGCTGTGCTAGCAGGCAGAGACCCCAGCCAGGCAGAAACCAACCCGAGTATGCCGAGAGTATGCCGTGAGTGACCCGAGCCACAGTGTACCGCTCTCCTCAATCCCCAAAAGCCTCAATGTATTAGGACACATCTACCTTGAGCCACATATCATCCTCTTCCAGGTTGGTGGCCTCTGTGCTCAGGGACACCTTGCTTCTAAGATGTCTTTATATGGAGTTCCTCCTTTTTAACTCTTAGTTTGCTCTGCCTTGAGGGAATAGAAGCTTGGGGCTGGAGAACTCTGTGCAGGGAATACTGGTAAGGCTGCGGGAGAACCCGGGAATGGTTAATAGGATGCAAATGTGCTATGGCACACAGTAAAGAATGGTGAGCAGAGCAAGGGACAGGGCTCAGGATGGTGGATCTCAGGCTCCGTGAGTGCCTGCCAGAGGGTACACACAGACCACCCCTGCTGACCCCGTCTAGGACCTTGGCTCAGCAGTTGAGGATCTAAGCTTTGGCCTTAGGCTTTCTACCTGGAGGTGCAGAACCAAACCGGTGAAGGTGGCATAGCAGAAAATGTGTGACATGAGGGTTGGGCACTGTGCCTTGAGGCTGTCATAGATGACCTCTCAGGTGCCACATACTTTGGGAGATATGATTTCCACTCCAAGTCTCGAGGTTTCTAATGTAAGAACCCTTTGAAATAATTTTTAAATATGTATGTCCCTGGACTGGATTCTGCTGATGCAAGAAGCAACCATACCTTCGTTCAGTGCAGTGGTGATGAATGGATAAGAAATGACTACTGTAGTGGCCAATTTTTTGGCCACCTCAGTTGGCAGGTTCACAACATTCCCTCTGGCTGCCACATGTCCCATGAGCCTTCAAAGCCAACATTCATTCCTCACTCTGAAATCGTGGCTACAAACCATGGGCTGGTGGTGTGTGACAGGAATCAGGGTCTGTACCCAGAAAGTGCTAGGGTGGCTTCCAGCAATTTCAAGCTTTATTTTAAAGGTTGGTCTCTCTGCAGATAGATCAATTGAACAGAGTAGAGAGCCCAGAAATAAGACCACGATTATATGGTTAATTAATCTATGACAAAGTAGACAAGTATATGCAATGGGAAAGAACAGTCTCTTCAACAAAAAGTGTTGGGAAAACTGGACAGCTCCACACAAAAGAATGTATCTGGAGCACTTTCTTACACTATACACAAAAATAAATTCAAAATGAAATAAAGGCCTGAATGTGAGACCTGAAAGCATAAAAATCCTTCGAGGGAAGACAGGTGGTACTTCCTCTGACATCAGCCATATATATATTTTTCTAGATTTGAGTCTCCAGGCAAGGGGAACAAAAACAAAAATAAACTATTAGGACTACACCAGAGGAAAAATATGCACAGTGAAGGAAACTATCCACAAAACTAAAAGACAACCTACTACATGGGAGAAGATATTTGCAAATAATACATCCAATAAAGTATTAGTATCCAAAATATAGAAAGAACTTATACAACTCAACACCAGAGAGCAAAGAATCCAATTAAAAAATGAGCAGACATGAAAAAAGAGTTCTCCAAAGACATACACATGGCATATAGACATGTGAAAAGATGTCCAACATCAGTAATCACCAGAGAAATACAAATCAAAATCACACTGAGATACTACCTCATACCTGTCAGAATGGCTAAAATCACAAACCCAAGAAACAACACATGTTAGTGAGATTGTCAAGACAAAGGAACCCCCCTACACTCTTTGTGGGAATGCGAAATGTCACTGTGGAAAACAGTATGGAGGTTCCTCAAAACATTAAAAATAGAATTACCATATGATCCAGTAATTCCACTACCCAGTATTTACCCAAAGAACACGAAGACATTAATTTGAAAAGATAAATGCACCCCTGTGTTTATTGCAGCATTCTTTACAATAGCCAAATATACAGGTAACCCAAGTGTCCATTGATAGGTGAATGGATACACAAGATGTGGTATATAGATACAATGGAATATGACTCAGCCATAAAAAAAGAATGAAATCTTGCCATTTACAACAACATGAGTGGGTCTAGATGGTATAATGCTAAGTGAAAAAAGTCATTCAGAGAAAGATAAGTGCCATACACTTTCGCTCCTATGTGTAATTTAAAAATCAAAGCAAACAAAGAAAAAAGGGACAAACCAAAACATAGCCTCTAAACTATAAAGAACTAAATGGTGCTTGACAGAGGGGAGGTGGGTGGGGAGACGGATGAATAGGTTCTTATTGTGATGAGTAATGAATAGAATTGTTGAATCACTATATATATATATCCCTGAAACTAATATGTAAACTGTATGTTCATTATACAAGAGTTTTAAAAATAATACAGTTGTTTTAAAGCAAAATAAAATAGCTATTTGACCTTTGATATTGTGATCTTATTTCATAACTTTATACCTGGAAATCAGGGTACATTAGAAACAATCTAGTTTGGAAAAACAATTTTACAGCAAGCTGATAAATTCTACCTGTAACATTTATTTTCATTCTTTTAAATCAGATTCCTGCACTTGTTTAAGGTTTTTTTAAAAGATGATTTATCAGGGGTGCCAGAGTCTTGTACCTGGATGAAAATTCTTATGTGAGTTTTTATGCACTTAAAAGGATTACAGCTAATGGGTTGCTCCTTTAATTGTACACAGTTGTGTGTGATACAGACTCAGCAGAGACACCAAAACAACCACCGCAACTGCAGGGTGGTAGCAACAACATCACAAATTCATTCTCTCTAACCTGGGGGAGGCTCAGAGCAGACAAATTACGTG